GCAACGTTCGACAAAGCGGTAAGGAATTAAAAGTTGGATTTGAAGCACACACACCCCGTGTGATTGGATTGCGGCACAACTTCTTCATTTGTGACCTTGGTTCACTATGAAGTATATCCCGGTCATTCCTAAATTATGGCCACTAAAGAAAACAAACAGCAACAGTCTTAAGCGAATAAAGGAAGTACCACTAGGGATAGCAAACTACCTGAGACACTGCTAGCATAACAGCCATAACGAACCTAAGTAAATTTCAGACACGTGATACCACCCACATGCCCTAGCTCGAGAGAGACAACAACAATAGGGTAGACCATAGGTGCAACATTGCCTAGACCATTTAGTTACATCGTGAATGCACTGCGGCGGCAGAATAACCATCGAAATGTTGCCGTACCTAATGAGTGAACCGGGTGACGCTGCGCAGTTCAGCAGAGAATCCTTTCATAGGAGTCACTTAGACACTTTCCAATTTTTTCACTCACCAAAGAATTGCCACAGCTCTCCAGAAGTTCCCTTAGTCCCTAAGTTCATATTTATTGGCAACTACAACCGACCATTGTAACTACCAAATGAGTGGCAAATTCTGTTGCCAACTGCCGCGACAGACCCACTGAAATCCCTTAGGGTAATGTTTATGATTACCAAAGTAATTTCGGAGAATTTGCATTATCGTTGGGGCATAACAACTGAATTTAAATTGTTCGGACCTTAGGTATACGAAGACCAATGTAAGAAACTAGGGTTGTACACCCTAGCTTATCGTCGGCTGAGGGTTGACCTCATCATGACGCACCGGATATTACATCTGAGTGATTACCCCATGTTGAGACAACTGCTTCATCTGCGCATAGCAAGCTGCACGCGAGGATACCGGTATGAACTTATCGTACCGAAGTTGAAGCGCGTCGCTCACCAACTCTGTTTCGAACGCAGAGTGGTGAATGTCTGGAATGACCTGCCGCAGCACCTAGTAGAGGCGAACTCAGTGTCCGAATTAAAGAAGCTCCTAGACAAACACTTTGCAGAGGCAAAATAAAGAGAGCGGAACGATAAATAATGAGTGTATGTTCAAGAGCGACGAATGATGCGGGTACACAGCGAAAGCTCTACTCGCTGCTTCGAACCAGTATACAGTACACAGGAAAATCAATCGGAATCCTAACCCTACATCTCAAAACCTGAGTGATTTTGGTTAGTATTGCAAATTAACTTATGGGACAAGCTATTAGGAATATTTTAGTGCAGAATGTCATCGGCTTGGCACATTGCAATGATGAACAACAGGTAAATTCATAGTTCAACCTGCTCTTCTTCAAGACCAGGAAACTATACTGATTTTTTCGCGTGCAGTAGCAATAGAAGTTTCGAAATATGTGCGGAATCAGTGCACTTTTAATCCCATCTGCTTCCGCACAATAAACTTGAATGTAACGTCCCAGGTACCCGGACCTTCAGGTTTATCCAATTGTCTGAGAAGCACCAACTCGATTGAATGACAGCCACGAGACCACCGTAATGTCACGTAAACAGAAGGAAACGCCCCTGAAGTTTAGCCTCGGAGTTCACCGATAAACGAAAGCAAGTTAGGTGACCAAACAACCTTCAGTGCTGTGCTCGTAGGGATCATAGTATGCGGGTTCTTAAGCCACACTAACCTATTCCTACTAGGAGACTTCTAATTATGTCCCATTCAGTGGACCATTACGATACAAGACGAGGAAGCTATCTGCCCAAGTCTGTTCTCTCTTCATTTCACACCACAAATTAATCCATTCCTTGTGGGGTCGTCAATGCTTTATCCCAAGTTTGCACATTCCAGTATTTCCTTACACATGGCTCTACTCGGCTCTGCGATAGGTATAAATGAGCCGTCTTTTTGCCTTCTGCACAGGTAAGCATTGCTGGTCAAGTGATGCTGTGAACGAACTAGTTGCTGATATTCTGAATACATCCTTCACCGAGTTAGCTATTGTTTGTTGCATAAGAGAAGCTGACCTGAGGAAGCCCCCAACATAGTTCTCGGCTGTAACTAATCTACGATGAGGTTGCTGAAGGCGCATATAACAAACACTTTCATTACTATTTGGTGAATAGTTAAGGTCGTAAGCTAGTTCGAGATACAGCAAAGTTACTAAACTCCAAAGGCTCGCTAACTCCAGCGGTTCTGTCAGATGTAGTGTAGTCGTTCCACGGTTTCTGCAGCCAGTTTCTTATCGATCCGTAAAGTTGACTATAGTGTTTCCCGCAACACATTCCTGTCTCTCTAACAAAAAGTCCAGCGCATCAGTACAATACCAGTTAGGAAGCAGATTTAGTTTAACTGGCGTTACTTTCCTAAGAGAAGCAATCAAGTATCTCTTTTTAGACACACATTTTCTGAAGTGTCCCGGGAAAGCAATTTGATAACTTGTACAGCCCGAGTTTGTACTACTCATTGGTCAGAAATGTCATAAAATTAATCTTTGCATAGGCTGCTAAATTTTCATTTACTGTCCAAATGGAATGTTATTTCATTTCAGTCATGCTGCATTCGCTCACAATGTCTCAAAGGTAAAGCGATCAACCAACCTTTCACGTCGTTGCTAGAATATATTATCTAACGTGTGTCTTACCCCTTCATATCCTGATGCTGAGAAGAACTAACAGTAGACATGCGTTTATTTTTACGTACTGGCCTTCAGATATTGTTTTCGTACCACTGTCAGATTACCTAGAAAGCTTGAGGCAGAAAACAAATATACTTTCGTCTACTCTTATTACGATAGAGTATATAGCCATCAACAAGATTCCTTAAAGGTACTAGCAGGCCCTTACCGATTTTTACTTTGATAACGCTAGAGTCCACCAACATGATTACCGTAAACTTTGATATTATTTATCCTATAATTCAGCCCTGACCGGCAGCGTTCAGGATCTAAGCTTGCTGCGCTGTGACACTGAGCGCATTTTCGTCCTGGTCGCAACAGCCCATACCCCAATAGGAGGGGCAACGGATTTATTCTTTTATGAAATACGACTGTCCGTGCTATCCAGTGAGTGTATTACAAATCCCTTACCAATCACACTACATCTCACTTATTTTCTTTCGTCTAGTTTGCGTTTCGATTATCCTTTTTATGAACATCCAGCGCTTACGAACGTCTTTTCAGACTGTGATGACAAGCATCTGGCGTGTAGCGCTATTTGCCTTACTTATGAACTTGATATTGAGATCGCCTTAGGTCGAGATCGATGTTGCCCAGTCTCTCCAGCTAGGCTAACCCGATTTTCCGTAACTCTGTTTAATTCCAATGACCTGTGTCCTTTCTCCATTGCATATCTGCTAGCTTCACTCATTTCACTTGGGTTCCTAACAATCCTCATAGGTAGACCACTACCCGTGCACTTCAGCCTGTGTGAGTACATGAGTTGTCTAGCTCCGCTTATCTCGCTTTCTCACGCGGAAGCATGGAGGCGTTGGTGAGTCGAATAGCAGCTTGAAGCGGCAGAGCAGTGGGCCCCCAAGAGGGTATCTGCTTACGTGAAGCGGCGCCTGAGGCCTACAGCTGACGTAACAGTGTTGGATGGCTGTAGGGGGCAACCCCTAACTTCCACCACTGAGCGTTTGTTAGAATTGGCCAGGCACTTCGTTTCCATATTTGCAATTGGCCGTGCTTCCATATCAACCGAGTTGTGCAGCCCCCACAGAACAAAGTAGCTTGGATTGTGTTATGGAAGATGCACCTAGTTTACTGGCCAGTCCTAACGGCTCGAAGTTTTCCGGTCCTGACGGGCTCCACCTCCAGCTTTGCAAGACCATTTCGACCGTCATTTCGCCTACCGTAACTGATCTGTTCAACCGGTCGTTGGCTGGGTTTGCATTGCAAAGCGACTAGCAATGTTCGGTAGTGAAGTCGATTCCGAAAGGCCGTAACCCAGGTAAGGTGGACAATTGCCGGCCAGTTTGTCTGACCTCCGTTTTAACCAAGATGCTTGATACGATCGTGAAGAAGGGTCTGCTGCAGCTACTGGGATGGGAAAATGTCCTGATGACCGAACAGTTCGGATTCATGGAAGACTGTTCATACATTATCAACTTGAACGGTGACGCGACACGAGTGGTTGCAAGCGCTGAACTAGGGGACGTCAGTCAAATTGATTAATATTGATTTCAGTAACGCTTTTTACAAGAATGTAGTGGTGTAACAATTAACCAAAGACTTCCCACCATAAAGAATGAACCGATGTCCGACAGTCGGAATATTTAGGCTGATCTTGGTCATGCTACCCGCTTGCTAAATCTCATAAATATTTCACACCTGACGGAATCGTGAAACGATGGTATTACCAACCGTAGACTGGACGAAGTTGTCTTTCCAGGCACACAGCCGAACGAAGTTCAGCACGTCGCAGAAGAAAACAGAACACGTGGCTGGAAGGTGGAGCAGTGCTTATCGTAAAACTGGACTGCCTTGCCGAACTGCCTCCTCGTGGTGTCAGCTGTGTGGTTCGGGTTTACCCCGTTCTAGCGATTAGTTCGGCTGCAGTGTTCCAGCAAGTGTTGGGTTTTCGGGTGGCAAGTGTCTCTACTGTAAAAGTCCACGTATGTTTGTTTAACAAAACTGTAACGTGGCGGATATGTCTTGCCGCTTCATCACGGTGGAAGATTGTACTCCAGCAAGTATGCGCTGACAGCAAGGGGAGGATCGGACCCCTGTTTGCTAACCGATCAAAAGAAAGGACTATGAACCTAGTAATCAGTCATCGCCTCCCAATTGGCGAGATACCCTGAATTAGCCCCACTGCCTTGCGACTAGGCTCTTTATCCAAAGGTTCGGGGTAGTATCCCCTAAGACAACTCCCTATTTTGGCTTGGGCAAACGCGTAGTTTGCCGCACACATACAAAACCATGCATCGTTTTTCTGCTATACCGCACTCAACCGCATTTGCTTCCGCTGCTCATACACCATCACACGCCACCTGTGCTTTTGGTGCCGATCAATAATATCTGTTATCAGGCCATTCCTGTCTCCATTATCCTACTCCTAATGGTTTCGGTGACGACCACAGACCAGTGGTTCTCACTCGGCCTCCATCCTCGTTTCATCTGGCCAGCTTTAATATACGTACACTCATTCAGATCGGGCAACAGACTGATCTCGCCCCCATTTTAGTAACGCTCGCCATCGATGTTTGCTGTCTTTCCGAGACCCGGCTGCATGATTATACTACCGTGATTGAGCTGAGATCGCACACTAAACATGTAGCCATATATCACACAGAAGCAGTCACCGCTGCTTTGTTTTGCTGAGCGTAACACTAAGTTTCAAAGCCGAGGCCGCATTTCTGGGCTGGTTCCCGATCAACAGCCGACTGTGTGCAGTTTATCTTCAGGGATCATTCAGGATCAGCAGACGTCGTGAGGAGAGACGCAACTTGTTTGTGCTCTCTGCGTACGCTTCAACCGAGTGCAGTTGGGAGTCGGTTAAGAATGATCATTTTCATGAACTTCACCAGCTCTTGATCCGAGCTTGCAAATCCGACATTGTTATCCTTGCTGAAGATTTCAACGCACGGTCTGGTCGTCTGTTATCATATGGAAGTCACCTCGGGGTTCACCATGCGCACAAGGAGACCCGCTTAGATGATGGAGCGAAACTACTGACATTGTTTGAGGACAGTCGTCTGTTACCCTTCAACACTACTTTCAGACATTTGAGGAGAAGTCCCGCTACTTGGCGCCTCACTTCTGCGTCCTAATCATGGTCTCAGACAGATCATATTTTAATCACTTACTGATGGCGTGGTAAAATAAAGGATTGCAGCTTCAGCTGGTCCATATTTCTCGACTCAGACCATTCTATTGTTTGTGCGAACATCTACATGAGTTCCGGAGGACCACAATAAGGTGCACTGCAAAGTGAATACAAATAAACCATCTACTCCCTCGGTTCAGCTTCCCTTAGCGAGTCACTCAAAAGCGACCAACCGCAAAGCATTGAGGAGCAGTGGATGTTCATTCAGAAGAGCATGATCTCTTTCGGACAGTCAGTCTGTAGTCTTACTCAGCCTCCTATGGTGGCCTGGATCTCCAGTAGCTCTCCTAGTAAGCAGCTAGTTTCCCAAATAATTAAATGAATAACTATCGTACTTCTTGACTGCGGGATACAAATAAACTGTCTGTATGATCAATTGCTGCAACGTGATAAGATGGAAGACTATTTGAGTTTTTCAAAGATAACTGAACTCAGTGGTCTCAACCACAGGCTGGCAACAGTCGGCTTGCAGGTTTGAACTCCGCAGAAGTCAAATGAAATGTACACTAGTGCGGATTCCCGAAAGTATGAAGCGTCCATACCATACTTTTCGGGACATGCGATGGCTGTTTAACTGAGTCTAGATGTTATGAAGTTCTACTTTTACCACTCACCTCCCCCTACCACTACTGGGGTATAATCCGTACGCAGACCAAAGTGCTTATTATGCCATAAATTACATGGTAGTTTAAATTTGGTAAGTTGGTCACTTGTTGAGGGGCCATGTTGTGTCGCCGCTGACGCCTTCTCCGCACTACCACAAGAACAAGTCAAAAGAAGAGCCAGGAAAGAGAGACTTGTATACATGAAAGCACATTTGCTTATATAGTTTTGAAGGCAAAATGATGGGAAACTACTAAATTACACTTTAGCCAACCAACAGAAGGAACAACGTCAAATGCAACGGGCGAATAAGCAACCGTGTACTCAAGAGCAAATCGCATATGTCCTTACAAATAAGATCATGGTACTCCAAGCGTAAAACGAACATCCATTTCCAGTGACGGGCACTGGCCAATAAGCATAACGAAATGTGGCGTTTAAACAAACATCACGAAACAACCGAGAATAAGAAATGCAGACCCAAAAATTAAAAACTAGTACAATAATTGTGTGATAACTAAATATTCCTTTAACATAACCAGGTAGAAAAAGTGATGCGGAGAAAAACCAATGGAATGCGTTCTTGCAAATGGCGCTGCTGAAGAGGACACGGAGATGAGCATCCATTAACAATGACGTGTGTGTGCCAATCGGGCTAACGCAGTGGAGCGTTTAAACAACAGTCATGATGTAGAAAATAGGAAGAATAAGGAATAGCCAGTAAGCTGGTCCATACAAAAAATGAATGTCTAATAGCTGTTCTCCTAATAGACTACCCTGTCCTGTTCACAGAAGTAGCGTACAAGTGAGCGGCATTATATCACAACCTTAAGGACCACAAGCTTGCCTTGTAATCTGTGGGCGCGGGTTCGAAGGTACGTAGGAACTGGACGGCGCTCGCAGTCTCCGTGGCCCAAGTGCGACTGGTGGTAGTTTCACTGCAGCGAAGCATCCGCACTACCTACCGCCATTCTGCTCTTGCCGCCCACCCCATATTACAGCTAGTAAATTAGTCACTTCGGTCGCTACCGTCCCCCATAGCCCAGAAGCCTTCACCACAGCCTGGTAATAGTAGAGTTCATGGTTCAAGCCGCACAGAGACCAGATGGAATGCGCAACGCTGGCGATTCCAGAAAGCATGACGCATATTTATAATGCTTTTTCGGGCGTTTGATGACTGTCTGACTTAGACACCAATTCTAGGGCGCTGACTTCTACCTCTTATCCTTGGTCCACTCAGGCAGTAGAAGTGCGACAGCAGTATCGGAGCTTTAAGTGCTGAGTTAGGTACCGATCCTGACAACTTGGCTCCGGGACTATATTAGTGATGTGCTCCCGGTTGGAAGTGAAACTTTTCCAACCAGTCTGTCAATTTCTGCCGATAAATTTTCATTTGAGCAATCAAATCTAGCCTCCATCATTACGAGGTAGCTTTCGCGCCAGAAATCTACTCAATACTGAGCCCCTACTTTACCGTCCTGAAAATACATTTTCTCTGCAGTTAGACACTGAAAAACGCTTACGAACCTGAGTGACTGTGTCCATGTGACCTAACCACTACCCTTTGTCCCTAGATGCACCGCACGCTTACTTGGACAGCTGCCGCAGTTTGCGACCTGACGTCATTCGTCTGACGCATCTACGCTTTGGGCGGCCTATGACCAGCGTTTGTCTTTGGCCTCCTTGGAGCAAGGAAGCTACGACAGCCCCTATCGCGTTTGCTGCGGAATCCAGAGTGCATCAACTACATTCATTTCAGTTGCCTGAAGAATACGTATACAAAGTTAGTTTACACTTCATACCATCCGTTTTTAAAATCATGCCATTACGTAGTAAAGTCATTGTACTTTCAGGTTAATTTGTTATGCTCCGTCTAACTTCGTTGAATTCGGGACTGGTGCTGATGAACTTATCTTACTAAAGCTTGCAGTGATCAACTGATGGGCAAATCAAGTCAGTATCTAATAGGCATCCACCTCAGATTCAGTTCTGGTGACCAAATTGATCGGTGTTTCCTCCAAAGTGAATCGCTGTCATAACTATGGTTACATGGCGCAATTCATTCACGCGAAGCGTATTTCAATATGACCCCAACCGGGTCATTAATAGCTAGCCTGTGTTCGGCGTTAACAACGGTATACCACAGTGTCCTGGAATTTTACGAAAGAAAGCCTGTGCTTCCGACAATCCAGTAGATTACAGAATAGGTGTAGCTTCAGAGGGATTCACGTGTTCCCAAGGTAAGCTTATTCACCAAATGTCCTGCTGCTGAATACACAAGTACGTGTAAGATACAACAATAAACCGTAGAAAACAGCATTCAAATAATTATGGAAAAAACATAGAGTGCCACTTACTACTGAGTAGCTGTTGACAAATGCACAAATTAACGTATCATTTCCTACATATTTTACGGCATAGAGCATTCAGTTTCAGCCGCAGGCATTTCGAATTCATCTAACAATCTTACAAGTTCTCCCGTCCATGCGTCGGTGGTTGCCTTTGCCCTCGCTGCCGCGTAGCTGTCTTATTGGTTATGCGCCATCAGCCAACAGGAGATCGAATTTAGGTATAGACGGAAATCTAATCACGCAGGGGGCGAAAGGGTGCCGACCGCAAATGCTCGAGTGCAATTCCTCCCCAGGCCGATGACGGATGGCAGGACACGGGTGAGATTAGTGAAGCGTTGGATCATCGGATGCGTGGTAGGATGAAGTTGAGACACTGTAGGACAAGGGGTCGCAGCATGCCCCACGTTATCCCTTTAACAAATCCTGTTTATGAAAAGAACGGCTATTTGTTTCTCATTCCAGCACAGCCGGTAGCCAGTGTCCTTGCGCTTAAGTTTACCAGGTGCTTGCAGTGGTGTAGCAACTAGTCTTGCTGCCCGGGGCGGACGCGCAATTGCCGCCCCTCTGGCGGATTTAAATCCGTAGATCCTCATAATTTCGGACAGCACTTAAATACTTTGTTTCATACAACAACAAGCGAAGACCCAATTATACAGTACTTCCGTAGATTCACGAGTTTTCGTTGTTACCGTACTCGTGAACAAGATTTAGAAATACACTTTTCGCGCATTACTTGAGGAAGTAGCATCGATAACACTCTCCATAGTGAAGTTCGCTATCTATGTTGAGAACTGTGACTCCGTGAGCCTAGTCTGTTTTCATGACGATTGTAGGTAGTTCGTTATAAGCTTAAGTTTTGAGAATGCGCTCTCACAGCTGGTTATGCTAATAGTTCGGGTGAGAAATATACGCAACAGATACTCCAAGTGACATTTCGGTATGAGGTTTAAAAGCTCACAAGGCCCATCAATGTTGTCTTTTTAATGAAGCTTTCACGACATACCGCAATTTTCCTCTTTCGGCAAGGATTCCGATTTTGCCATATCTTCGTCGAATTTATTAAGCGGACAACTATACTTATTATCATGCTGACTTAACGGTGTATGAAAAGCAAATGTGTTTGCAAGGTCATGAATTTGCTGGAATCTATGGCGTTTCATTAGTCAAAATGTCTATGTGAGACAACATTTCCCGTTTCAACTCTGAATCAAATCCCATCGATAAATCCAACAAGTATTCACCGCCCATTCGTTTCTTTTGGCTGGTTCGACGCTTCATGTTTACCTATAAAGCAGCGTAGTTTTTTGGTTTCATCCGTCGCAATGTGCACCAGTTTCGTTCTAGTCTGAAGTAGGCAAACTCTTAAGGCTGTAATATTGTTACAACTTCGCAGATCCAGTCCATTTCTTTAAACATACCCCTGCATCTTTGAATTCTATGAGAGCAGATCCCTACATTCTAAGATACAGAATAAACGGAAACGGCTGTACCGAGATGAGAAGTAAAGATGCCGCTGATCTTATGATTGTATTTTCTCCTTATTCTGTGAAATGTGTCAGTGAAGTGAAGTTTCAAGTATTTCTTCACCACAATATATCGAGCACCTGCTCGACTACTCCATCTATATTTTGCAGTCATCTGACACTCACATCGGTGACTTGGACCAAGGCATTCAAGTAATGTTCAAATGAACAAAATATGATACTAGCCGGTCCATGGTACGAACAATGTGATAGACTGAGCCTTCGCGGAAGCTACATAAACACGGAATGGTTTGCGCGTGACACAGATGTATACTTTGAGCAGAGGTCACAGATACGCCTCTGGACACCCATTCATCGGCGCGCCATAACGGCATCATTGTCAAACGTTTGACCACGACACTCGTCAATGTGAATTCCATCCTACTCCGATCCTCGCAAAACCAGTGCAGAACTTTCCTCTGCCCTTTTGGTGTTGGTCTCAACGAAGTTGAGAAACGGCTCCTCTCCCCTCATTTCGTTTTCACTCACGTGATTATTGTGAGACACATCGAGCGTGCTATCGAAAAGCTACCAAACATAATTGCTTTCATTGACCTAATCTAACCCTTCCTTTCTTACCTGGGTGTACCAAAATGGCCAGCAATTCAGTTTGAACGTGGTGCGACAAAAGGTGCTAATTTTCCTTCCCAACGGAACTGTCACCAACTGTTCACCAAGAACTGGCACATACTTGGCCGACAAATATACACATGCTGAAAAATTCCGTCAAATTTATGCCTCCTTTGTCATCTTGGATGTCTTCTCGGTGAACACACAGTGTCACGCTTTGCTTGGTGAGAACCCTGACAATATCAAGTGTTCTAGCGAAATTTCACGTCACTGTTTTTCTACAACCAATTGCTCCATTTTGTCACATGCCATTCCTTCAACTAGCCGGATCGCCACCTCCTTGCGGTTGCGGAATGACTGAGCACGCGATTTACTAGGTTCGTGTTCACATGCTTTTGGATTTCGCTTCCATCAGTCGAAAAACTGGACTATCCCGTTGAAGACATCCTGCAGCGGAAACCACACAGGGCCTCTTTTGAAGGAGAATGCACCATGGATGTTGCATTCTTTGCTCACCCTTTTCGCAAACTCCGAAAGTATCCAATTAGTTTTGAGATTCTCAGCCTCTGGTTTGCATTCGTTCCAGATAGCACCAATTATTAAAATCATGATAGGTATGCTGAAAGGCAGTATCCGTGAATCAGAGAAAAACAAAAGAAAAAAGGGATGTGTATAATGGTGATTGAAAGCTGGGCTGAAGGGAATCGCTTAACCCGTGTGGTCGATCAGGCAATCGATCGAGCGAACGAATGCGTTTTCAAAACACCCGGCTAATTGGACTTTTTGCCTCAGAGATGAGAGGGCAGTGTTTTCGGCGGCATTATCTGGCTACGTTGGCAGAGTTTTGTTAAGACATTTTTCGTGGTCAAGACTGTTGGAATTTTGATTTTTCTTCGGCTGGGCTAGAATTTTTGCGGAGAAATTTTTGGGTGACTAATTCGGAATAGCGAAAATAGGTGAAGATCTAACAATGGCGACGGACAAGCACGGAGATGTTACACATTTTTCAACCGAACATTTTCAAAAGCTGCTTCTTCAGCAACAATCCCAGATGGAAGCACAAATGAAACTGATTGAAAGTTTAACGCAGTGCTTAAACGTACAATCAAACGGAGTAGCTACACGGGACACGCAGGCTGTTTCACTTGATCTTCTTACTAATTCCATCACTGAATTTCATTATGATACTGATTCCGAATGCACTTTCGAGGCGTGGTACATACGTTGGGAGGATATGTTCCAGACGGATTTCAGCCGTCAAGATGATTCATGGAAAGTGCGTCTTTTGCTCCGCAAGCTCGGTACTAATGAACATACAAGATTTCTTGACCACATATTGCCCAAAGAGCCGAAGGACATCACTTTCAACGAAGCAGTGGCAACACTCATAGACACTTTTAGTGAGTCGACATCATTGTTTAGCATTCGCTATCAATGTCTAAAAATTGTAAAGCGTGATACAGACGATTATGGGGCACTAGCAGACATGGTTAACCGTGAATGTGAACTTTTCAAGTTACGCTGTTTGACGGTTGACCAGTTTAAGTGTCTTATATTTGTCAGTGCTTTCCAGTCTCCACGCGACGCGGAAATCCGCACTCGGCTCCTTGCTAATTTGGGTCAAGACCCAGATTTGACATTGAAGTATCTTGTAGGCGAATGCAAACGGTTAATTACCTTGAAACACGACACGGCTATGATTTAGCAGAGTCGCCCCACCATTGCCGATACTGTTCATGCTGTGCAAAAAGCAAGAAATCCTGGCTCGAATAAGTCGTTCAACAGAAAGCCAAACAAACCGCCTACACCTTGTTGGCCATGTACTGAATGGCATTTCGCATGATACTGTCCATTCAAGCGTCATATTTGTGATAAGTGCCATAAACGCGGCCACACGGAAGACTTTTACCATCAGTTCCGGCCAAGAAATGTGAAGCAGTCCTACCGAAGGAAGAATTTCAGAAAACCTGACGCAGAATCACTATCGGTGATTGCTACGTTTCACAGCGATTCTAAAACACGCCGCCGATTTATCACTGTGCTTATCAACGGAATCCCAACCCGGCTGCAGTTCGATACGGCATCAGATATAACGATCATTTCCAAGAACACTTGGAAGCACATAAAGAAGCCGAAGATGATTGATTCCAACAAAGTCGCCTACAATGCATCCGGTGGAGTGCTGAAGTTGGTCGGAGAAATAAATTGCAAGATTGCATTCAACGGAGTGGAGAAGGCCGGAACCTGCTACTTGTCTGATCGACCAAACTTGAACCTCCTTGGACTTGACTGGATGGAAAACTTACAACTGTTTGATGTTCCAATGAGTCAGGTTTGCA